ACCAGCTACAATAAACAAAGATATATTTAATTTAACGTCCCTATCTCACACTAAAATAAAAGTGGAAAAACCCCATAAACGTAGATATAATGCAGCGCCACAACTGCCAAGACTACAGTCACTCAAAAAAATACTGTGCACACTCGCCAAGATATATCCATTGCAAAAATAATCGCTCATCTTCTGCTTGTACCAAATCCAAGGAATCCCCTGCTAGTTGCGTACTCTGCGACGAATACCACCCAGCTAACAATAAAAGTTGCAAAACATACCTCTAAAATCACCGGAATTTTCCCACTAAACAAAATAACGGTAATAAAACAAATATGGTTAACTTTACATTTAATAACTGTGAAAATTCCCAGTGGTCACAAACCACTAATACAACCCCGTACTCGTCATATGCTCAGGCAGCTTCTGCTCAAAAGTCTACCCCATCAAAACAAAATATGAAAAACGATCTCACGCCCTTTATTAACAATTTTCAAGCTTATATAAATCCACTAATAGCCCTCCTCACAACAGTCAGTTAGGTTAGGTTTGGCCACCTATTATCTAACAATGTTAAATAATTCATTCACTTTTAAGTTCCTACTATCTTTTTATGGAATGCAAATGGATTAAAAACCCATCACGATGTACTCATCACAATACTCTACGAAAAAAGAATTGACGTGGTCTTAATCACTGAAACTCATTTCGCATCAATCACTAAATTCTGTATTCCCGGCTACAATCGAATATCAGCACCCCAACCAGATACGGTTGAGAGTATACATAAGAGTTCTACGATCCTCATAAAATCCTCCTTACAATTAAAAACCTCTCCTACTATAAATTAAGATTTTCTATAGACAGCAATAATAGCACTCAAAACAAACCATATCTTTAGGAGGGCAGCAACGTTTGCCCCCCTAWACACAAAATAACCATATTCTAATACCAACAATTTTTCATGTCTCTCGAACGCTATTTCCTATTCGGTGTTGTTGACTTAAATGCAAAAAACCCAGCTTAGGGTTAAATTCCCAAAATCCAAAAGGTTAGGCCCTACATCATTTAATAATAAACATAAAAAAAAACTCAAAGTCTTATCCCCCCACTAATCCTACCAACTGTCCGACATCCCCAAGAAAGCGCTCCGATATATTGGATATATTTTTAATAAGTCTCATTCCATAAAAAATTTACTTGACCCATCTTCGGATCATTCTCCTATTCTCTTAAGCACTAGACACCCAACCTCTAACCCAAACAAGGCAAGCCTATCTTACTAACGGTATAATGAACTGGAAGTTGTCTTTCGTTCACATCTTGAACACGTTTTCCAACCTCATCACGATATCAACGATCAATTATCTACGGAAAATATCTTGAAATCATTAAAAATACCCCTCTACCACTCTACTACAACCTAAACCTTTCTTACCAGCCGATGTCCATCACAACATCAAATTATTTCCCCTCAAAAAATTCCCTGGATTGGAAGTCACTCGCAAACTAACGAAAAAAAAAGTCTTATCCATCTTACTCATATTTTAAACTCCATACTAAAGCTCTCGTACATTCCTGTACAGTGAAAAACTTCAGTTATTATCTTATTTCCTAAACCAAATAAACCCTCTGACATACTAACTTCTTACCAGCCAATAAGTCTTTTTCCCTTATTTGCCAAACTATCTGAAAAATTAATCTTAAAGCGTATATCTCGACTAATTAATATAAATCAAATCATTCTAAACTCGTAATAGACATTCAACAATTCATGAAATCAACCAATTAGTTTACTCAATATCGTATTCATTAGAAACGAAAAAAATATTGCTCTGTTGTTTATTAGATGTTGCCCAAGCATTTGGGTTAGGCACCTAGGCCTTAATTTATAAATTAAAAACGATTCTACCACGCCCTATTTTTTATTTTTCCAATCATACCTCAAATAACCGATTCTTAGTGACAAAAATAGGCACTGAGATATCATCAATTGCCCCTAATCTTGCTGGTGTCCTCCAAGTTTCTGTTTCATCTCATTTCCTGTATAACTTATACATACCTAACAAACAAACTACTCTGTATACTTCAGTAGCCGAATTTCCTGATGACAAAATTATATACGCTTCTCAAAATAATCTATAAACTGCTAAACTACACTTACAAAACCACCTTAACAGCCTAGCTTCCTGGTATACTAAATGGAAAGTTAAGATTAACAATGAAAAATCATCGCACATTACTTTTTCTTTAAGACAGGGTGAAAAATCTTCTGTTAACCCAAACAATCAAACAATACCAATAGTCTCCAAAATCCGTTACCTAGGCCTAACCCTAGACAAGGGATATATAAAAATTAAACGTAACACTCGAAACATCAGGAGGAAATCACTACACTATTTGATAGGTAATCACTCCAAACTCAACCTCAATACCAAACTACTTATTTATAACCAACTTTTCATGCTTATATGAACTTATGACATTTAGCTATGGAGTACAGCTAAATTGTCAAATTTAAACATAATACAAATATTCCAATCAATCACGAATCACCTTACGCATGATAAATAAGGCCCCCTTTTACGTATTCAATCACACACTCCATACAGATCTACACATTAAAAATGTYTCAGAAATTTCGTCGATTATACATAAACGCTATCGTTTACGACTATAAAACGGCCCCAACCCGTTAATCTCAGCACTTAACTCAAAAACTATACCCGGGACTCCTCAAAGAAGGCTTAAGAGGAGATGGTTCCGTGACCTAAACTCTTAATCTCAAATAAAAATAATAATAATAATAAAATTAAAATATATCCAACATAACAAAATCAATGTAAAGTGTAGCCTCTGGGTTACTCGTTTTATCATGCGATCCATGTCGTACTTAATATCCTAACTCATATTCTTATTGTAAAAAACTAAATTACAGATTGTATATATACTAATAAAAAATAAAAATAAAATGTTAAATGTCTAATGATCAATATTTTATCAACTTGAATATTAAAATAAATATTTTATAAAATACAAAAATGTATGTTGGATTATAACTTATAAGTACCTAAGGCCAGAATTTCAATACAAAGCGTATTGTTTTTTTTGATACTTTAGGACAATGCATTTCAAGTACATAGTTCGTTTCATGTAACAGATACTTTGAAGGTGAAACATTTATTTATTTTGAATTTTTTAGTATTTTAGGACATGTTATTAATTTAATGTGCATATTAATACATTGTRCGAACTATAAATATAAATTAGGTAATTCAAAATATTGTATCGATAAACAATGTTTTTTTTATAATATTATTGCTTTAAAAATATTTAGGTATTTTGTATCAGTATCAAATGCCATTAGTTCTATACAGTGGCGTGCGCAGGGGGGGGATATATCCCCCCATGGGCTTTTTTTTAGTCTTCTAACGAGTGGATTTTGGATCTCTAGTTCATCAACATAAACATAATACATTTTTATTTATGACATCCCCCCCCCATACCAAATTCCTGCGCACGCCACTGGTTCTATATATTATGATGTGATAACGTCTTTACCAATTTCTAGAGATTATTGGAAGTGGTGTCTTACGTGACTCAAAAAAATAACAATTCATTAGTCAATTAGAGAAATATCATGATCGAGTTTATTTTCAGTATAACTACTGATTATTTATTAAGCGTGCCTAAGTTTGACATTAAGTTTTTATAATGTTGTTGGACGTTAATTTATTTAAGATAAATTGTTATAAACTCCGAAAATTAAGCCAACGTTTTCCTATCGACTAAATCGGTATTTGTTTTAAGCATCAATGCATTAAATAGGCATTTTTTAAAGCATTTAAATTCGGACTATAGTATTACATTTATATGAGTTAAATAATAATTTATATTTTACACATAAACTGAGTTATATGACATCATGGTTTTTAAATAAAACTTATAATTCCATTTTTTGAACTGTTACAATGAAGTGTATGCGATCAAAAATAGTGAAATTTCAATTATTATTATAAAGATTAATACTATAATAAGCAATCGGGGTTCACCCACGTTTGAAGAAATCGGATTTGATAAATACACAATTATTTTCGAAACATAATTTATCATTGATTTAAAACGTAAAGACGCTCGTGTCCTTAGGGCATTAAAATCCTTTACATTTTTATATTAAAAGTTATTAACAAGTTTTGAAACAAATCATTAAAATATTATATTTCTAAACATATCTTCAAGTTTTATCAAACTTGCATAAATATAATATTATACAAGCATACCTATATAATTTTAGTGTCAACGATTTCAATTTAACTTTATAGTTAATATAATTTATGATAGGTACACAAAAAATGTTTTACCCACATACTTAACATACTAAAATAAAATAACTTAATATTGAAATCAAATTTAATAAATTGTAGTAGTTTAGATTTCAGAAACTTTGAATTAGTTTATAAGCTTAAGAAAATTATTATTATTTTTGACATACTAGACTGTTTAATAATATCAYAACTCTTACAGCAGRATAAAAATAATATTAATATAAAGCCGATAATGATGATATGTAAGTTGTCACCATCAGCCGTTATGAAAAGTAATTGAAAACTACATTAGTGATCGATTTACTGTTTCATCAATTCTTGGAGTAAATACGATTCGATATTTAAAAACATTTTTATTTTTATATAAGCTTTAAATATTAATCGAAACGTCCAGTGACATAATAAAATATTTTCATTATTAAGATGTACCTACCAACAGCACCAACGTTTGAAAGTAGAAAATTTCGTGGGACTGTTATTATAATATTCTATTTTACACGGTTTACGCGTCGTACAATTTTTTAATGGTAATTTTTTTTTTATGGACACCGCTACGTTTTTTGCATTTTCCTACTGTTAGATTCCAAAACCAACCAAACCAATGGATTTACTTGCTGCAGCAGCAAAATAGATAACATATGATTATATTATGCAATCGTGCATTCTCGTACGACTTTCGCATACCTTCAGACGCCAGTTCAGGTGATGCTCCCATGGTGGACAGTATCCAAACGACCAACAGAACCCGGAGGTCCGCCTCCATGACGTTGTGGACAGCGGGCGGTGAACGTCACACACGTGGAGTGCAAAAAACAAAATTCAAAGACCGTTTACGATACAGGAGAAATACGGTAAAACACAGTAAACACGGAGGATTTTTTATTTTTTTGGTGATTTTCAGTTTTCAAAATCAATTTYGCAGCGCATGGTGGAGAAATGGCGCGAAACGGTAAAGGAGGAGACTGCGATCATCGCATCAATTTAATTATTTATCTATTTAATGTCATCATTCCGGCGGCAACGGCGACGACGACGACGGCTGCGACGGCGACCGGACGGACGCGGATGGACGACACATGGTCCTCACGGGGAGAGCGGCAGCGACGGCGGCGATGACGGCGAACGATAACGCGACAAACGGCGGCAACGATCCCGACGGGATGGCGTTTGGCGGCAGACTGCGGTCGTGTGCGAACGTGAGCGGCGCGATTGTCGTCGGCACTCGRCCGACGTGCCGGACGCGCGCGCGCCCCCGAGGGTGGGTTTTCCCTCGGTTGTCTGTGGTGGCCGGTGGTGACGACGACGACGTTGTCCTTCGGCGGGTTTCATACGCACAGCGCAGCCAAACGATTTAACGCCCGCACTACACAATAATAATTATTATTTTATTGTATAACATAATAATATGTACTTAATAATATTACCTATACAACATTATTGCAACTCATACCAGCCGATCGTGAAAGGATCAGGGGCTAATGTGGGGTGATGCAGTAAGACGACCAAGCCAACCAGCTACCTACCTCTGATTGCGCTCGCGATGAGGCATCCCCTGTAAAAAATACTTTTGAACTGTCCCTAGTACCTAGGTGCTTATCATTTGTATGTAGGTGCCTATATTTCCTTTAGTTGAATAAAATTATATTGATAAGAGTTTTAGGCGATGGGTCTCGCAAGTCGCAACTTGCGTACCCGCAATCCCACGTGTTGCGCGTAAGCAATTTATCTGAGGTGGATGTATATTTATATATCCAGTAAGCACCTTGAATTCATATTATCATATTATTTTTAATATATTAGTCACGGACTAAGATTAATCTTAGTCTGTGATATTATCATGGCATTTCCAATTTACACAACGGGCGCGCTAACAGATTACGAGTCCACAAATACCAACCGATGCGAAACAGCCCAAACTTTTGTTCACAGTTGTTTGTTTTTATGGCGGTGATCTTATCAAATTATTTTTTTAGTTGTATAATTTTTGATAAGGATATTTTTGCTACTTAATAATGAAAGCAATTGATATTTCGAGAAAACATTGCATGGGATGCTCAAATTAAAATATGATAACCACTATACCCCTTGCCATTTTGTGCCACTTTAACCTCTGGAAACGATCATTATATTATTATTGTGTATTATTTCAATTTAAAAAATGAACTCTTGAAAGGTGCGTCTATTGCATTTGCTTATTAAAAAAGGTATGATTTAGGTAATTTACAGAATTTGTTTAAAAATTCAAAGTCACTTGAAACCACAACATAAAAAGATACGAAGAACTTAGACTGTGGGTTATAGTTTTTATTTTTTATTTTTTCAATAAAAATAGATGTAGTACGATTCCTAAAAAAGTTATCGAACAATTAAACACATAAAAAATAAATTGTTTAACAGTAAATAAACTCGTTTCTTAATACACATACTAGTATGTACTATGTACAACCACAGAATAGATTAAATACGTTACTCGCACTTCTGTGTACCACAAACTTCTATACTAACTATTTAAGATACTCTAATATGATTTACATTGTTATCAGTGAAGCTCGCACGGGGACAACCGCCATTTTGTTGGTTGGCATACACAAAATGTATAAAGAATAAATTAAATTATATATATTTTTAAAGGTGAAATATAATAATAATGACAAAATGTTCTATATAAAATATTTTTTTTTTTTTGATACAAACAACAAACAACAAGTCTAAAAATAATAAAATACAATGCAACATCAATTAATATTTACCATAAATACATATATAATATAGCATACTATTTTCCAACCAAGAAGATGGTGGAACATGGCTTCAACTTACTCATCTAGTTAATACAGAAGTCTGTGCTGTATACAGTAACACTATATTATGATATCGGAAAAATAATAAATATATGACATTCGGTCGGACGACTGATCATTCTCTTTTAAAATAGAGTTTATTCAGTGGCGTAGCCAGGGGGAGGGCTGAGGGGGCTGCAGCCCCCCCCCCGAAATGTTAATAAAATTTAAAAATTATTTCAATGGTCTACAATATTCACTCAAAAAGTCTTAAATTGTATTTTACTAATTTTAAATTGTCATCTTTATTTTGTTAGTTTTCTATAGATTCGGCCGTGCTAATAGGTATTTAATCCGACCAAATACTTTTCCGACTAAATAGATATGGTTCTGAAAAGTATAGTTCATGGTAAATACGTTTCCGACGTATTGCATTTTAGATAAAATATACTTACCCTATAAAATATTTTTCCAGACAAATACGATTCCTAGCATAAATGTTCTTATATGCATCCCACGTGTATGATTTCTGCAAAATAATAATATTATGTAAAATAAAAGAATATTAAGTAATAAATATTATTCGTATACAATATATATTTTAAACTTTATATGAAATCAACTTATTATAGCATGCATATTACACGCATGTTAAAAATAATTAACTAATAAATAGAATAACAGCAGATAACTAAGTAATAATAACATAATAAAATTCTACTATTATTATAATACCCACTGCGAGAAAGCTATATTAACAAAAGGATAATAGACTGGTAAATAATAGCAAGGGAGGACGTCTCTCCCACRTGTGATGTAATAATGTCTGACAAAAGTGCGTAACATTGCAAAATTTCGTAGTAAAGTCACAGTAGTCTTTTAACACAAAAAATAGAAATGCTTCTTTTTTCCCAATTTTCTATACAAATCGTATGATACTTATGTGATACAATTGTACATAATATATAACTATAACACGATATTCAAAAAATTAAACGGTTAGTGTCCACAAGCAAATGCATTTTTAGAAGCAAAAAATATAATTAATTATAAATTCGTGTTGTATTGGTAGTTATAGAGACTGAGACAGTCTTTCAAATAATGAACAGAATAAATAAATACAATTAAATCATAATCATAGCCAGTGGTGTGGTGAAAGGGGTCTAGAGGAGCAGCCGCTCCTCCAAATTTTGGGCGGGTGGGTACTGGGTATTACAATTGATCATATTATACTAGAAGTAGTGATGTAAATTCATCCTACTATACTATAAATAAGCATCAAGATAATCTGATTTTTTTGTGTACTCGTATTTGATACAATAAATATTGAGTGGGTGGACACCTAGACTAAAATCTTTGCTCCTTGTGTTAAAATAGCTCGCCTCGCCACTGATCATAGCAGGTAATTAGATAAATAATTATAAATGAGAGGGAAAGCATAAAAATGCTTACAAAATAAAAGGCAGGGAAAAATCAATCGCCTTAGGTAGTGAATATTAATTCCAATAGGTACCTATTTAATTTATTYCGAGTTACTATGGTGGTATAATATAAAGAAAAAAGCGGGTAAATTAATGTCACTCTGCTGAAGGTGCGCACGCAAGGGGGRRGGGGGGGCTAACGGGCTGAAGCTCCCCCCTCCATTGCCCGTATTATTGTATTATTATTATTATTATTTTTAAATCTACCGACAATTTAATATACTACATATCTAAGTGTGTATTTCCCCATTTATTACAACCACGGACTAAGATACCATATATTAGTATATTGTATATTATTACTATAATTAATATCTTTAATTGTGATGACGACCACAATCCATAGATATGTAGATATCTATAATCTATGATTACAACCGAACGTACTATGTTACCAACAATCCGAACAACGTCAATCTATAAAAATAGCCAACATTCCGATTTCCGATAATTTTTCGACTTTCGTTATTATACTTATCAGTTATCTATGTAATTTTGAAAGTTCTACAACAATTTTCAAAAAGTCACCTAAGCGATTACAGTTATTAGATTGGACTAAATAAAAATGTTTAAATGTTTAAACAACAAAATGGGCAATAAAATACATTTAGTCCAGTCTAATAAGTTTAAAATATATTTACACTATTTACAGTCATTGTAGTTTTTATTAAATCATAACCTTATACCGGAGACTAATAATTTCTAATATTAGATGTATTACCAAATTCATAATTATAAGAATACTTATTTATACTTATATTTTTGTAAATCTTCATTATTAATTTTTAAGGAGGTATTAGAGTTGTTCTGTACACCATATTTATGTTTCACAACATATATGATCTAATAAATCAGAGGTAAAAAAAATATTTACATACCTAAAAGGGTGTTTCTAATTCAAGGATATCACTAGGTAAATCCATTTTCAAGCCCCCCCCCACCGTAAAACCTGCGTACGCCACTGCTCTGCCGCACAGTATAAGTCAGTGACGCCGAACCCTATGTTAAATTGTTAAGGTCGGCCATGGCTCAGCATATTTTGAAAATTTAAGATAGGGCCGCTTCATATTGACCATTTTCCTCTCCACGTTATGCCATTTTTTCCGATATTAAGATGTTGGGCCTCTTGAAATATTTTTCGCCCTACTAGACTTTTAGGACTTCGGCGCCACTGGTATAAGTTACGAGTACGGACTGTAATGGATGCCGGGTGGTATAACTATTAAATTTTAATTCAAATATTCAATMATATAATATTATCATTGAATACGAACAACTTTACTATTCTGAGCGGAGACGATTAATTGTCAGTCTAGGATATTTAAATATTTTACACCATATTAATTATATTGTTATTAATCAAATCAGATTCATTATCTACCAGACTCACTCAGTCATTCATAATAATATAGGTATTATACAATATTTTATAAAGTATTAATATAAGTCATTCAATTCAACAATAACATGCATCATGAACACACGCGTTTAAGTTCGCTCCATTATTTGTACTTAAYGATGTAATTGCATTATCTTTTTCAACCATAGATTAATTATAAGAATTATATACAGTGAAACATCTAAATACCGGACACTCTCGGTCGCATAAACGTCTTCCGCTATTTGGAGGTCTCCGCTATTAAGAGGGGAAATATAGTGAGTACACATTTCACCGTTCCCAAAATGCCGTCCGTTATTTGGAGATGTCCGCTATTGAGAGGTGTCCGTTAAAGAAGGTTTCACTGTAATACTCTATGTTTTCAACGTATATCATAATATTATTATGGTTCGTTCCGGTAAAAATTTGCCTCGTACGCCTACGACATAAAAACGAATATTATCCAGTATATCCACTTCAAATTCTCCTCGTCACGAGGGAAAAAAGTCCATAACATTCATAACTCCTAACCGTTTCGGTGCTCTTGCCCTAAATGACACTATA